CGACATGGGCGGCTGGGTTCGCTCGATTTCTGTTTCGGCTTTTGGGATCTTGGATACGAGCTTTGGGGTTTTAACGTTTAGGGCTTGGGGTGTAGAGTTCAGAGCTTTGGGGGTTAAGGGTTCCCGGGTGTTAGGCTTCGGGTGGTTTTAGCGTTTAGATTTACGTAGGGCGAAGAGCTTTGTGCCGTCATTTCCCAGGGTTGCAAGATTCTATCTGCAAGGGTTCTTGTTGGAAGTTCGTGTCCGTGTATGATAAAGTGCAGCCTTAGCTCGATCGCATGCTCTGCCTGTTGAGTACACGCTTCCTTTGTAAGGTTTAGGGTAGCTTTGGCTTTGGCGGAGTCTCCTCATATTTGGCTGTTGTAGCACAAACCCTGTAGTTGTCCTATCAGAACCAAGGCAAAAGCAAACAGTAGCTGCCGGAAAGAAGCCTCAATGAGTGCTGAACCCTGAATCCTTCAATCCTCAACGAGTGTTCAACCCTAAATCCCAGAATCCTATCCTAAACCCTTAAACCTCAAAAGGTGAAGGAGGACGAGCCTCTGACCGCTGCCCTCAACCCTTTCCAAACCAGCGGGACCTATCGGTTCCCACTGGGTGATAGCCCGAGGGGTCCAAAAAGCCACATAGTTATATACACCAAATGAACCTGCAGACCATGTTCTACGGATGTAGAAACCAATGTCAATTAAATCTGAATCCATGTAGAGATAGAAAGGGTATGTCATTTTAATCCAACGTCCCCTCCTGGGCACCCCACACATGACACTCTCATAAGCCTTGTAAATCCGTTCGGGCAGACCCATAGAGTCCTAAACCCCGTAATTAAGGATTATACTATGATGACACCTTAAACCGTGTCCGGTCTCCCCCCATAATTTGAGGTCTATCCCGTCATGAAAGGGTTTTGCTTCTTTGTTGTTAACATACATAGTTATTGTCATCATTATCGCTATCGTCAAACTGTATCCAAGATATAAGCAGCTGCAACACTAGTTAACGATAATACATCGAACTTAGTCTCTGGCGAGCTAGGTTTGGATCGTGGCCAGCGCGTGGCCTGTCGCAGCCGATCATTTCCTGGCCAGCACGCACACTTCTGCGCATTTCTCCGGGCGATGCTTGACGACTTCGGCAGAGCCCACGGGCTGCATTTTTTATAGAGCTTAGGGAGTTTTCGGTTTACTTGACCGCAGGAAGTATATGGTTCCTTCTCATGAAAAGACAGCTCGCAGCGAGTAGCTGCCATGTACTGAGGACCGCTTAGTACATGGATGTAGGCCCTGTAGATTTCAGGACTCAAGATTTCGCATTGCCCTGACGCCTACCCTAAGGCCTCTAGGAGGGTTTTGGGCTTTTTGGGGGAGGGTTTCGGCTTTGGGGGCTGGGGTCCGGGATCTCACTACAAGGGTCCAGGAGCCTTGAGGTAAGCCCCAGACTGTATGTTTGTGCCGGGATGTAGTCGTCAGCCTTTCAGCCAAGGTTTGTTGTACCGCCTTGGTGAAGGCTTGCCCTCCCACCCCTTTGGCCCCTTCTCTCTCTTTCTCTCTCCCTCTCTTCCTCTCTCCTGCACAGTAGCTCCAGGACACGAGTGTATACTATGTGGGCATACCTCGGAGTTCGCCAGCCGCAACTGTCCTGTCGTAGCTGGCGTCCGAACATAGGCGTTGTGTCTAATCTACATGTGTGAGTCAACTTTGACATTCAAAAAAGGATTTCCATGAGCTTATGGTACGTTGCCGTCCCAGTCTTTTCAGATGTGCTTGAACCACAGCAAGCTTCTGCCAGGCAACAGTATGTAGGTTTAGACGGAATCGGTCGGGTCTGAACCCATTTCCCTAAGGGCCCATGCGTTGTATGCAGTATATACATTGGCCCGAATGCTACATAGGTACATGCACCCTGACAGTTCTTCCCGCCACTCAGTGATCAGGATAGTTATTCCTAAGTATGTTCGATAGAAGGCTCCTTAACCTACCAAAACTTCCGTTTGTAGGGTCCCTATACATTCGATGTTTGATTCGGGTAGTTTGAGGCATAGGCTCCTGATCGAATGCATTGCAGATACTGTCCGACAGCCGGGGTACAAGCCGGACCGACAGCTGCTACGGCAGACTACCGTCATATCTGTACTTGAAATTTGCCATCATCACCATTGTCACGAATGTCGCCATCATCACCAGTATCACTAATGTCGCCATCGTCACCGTCATGACCATGATCATCAGTATGACAAACATCGCCTTGATCACCATTATCACTAATATTACCAGTATAACCATGATAAAAAGAAAGTGCCGATGAGAGGTCTACGCAAGGCACTGTTGATCACAATATTGCGCGAAGCGTCTTGCTAATCGCTGCCACGAACGCCATTGACTCCCCAACTCAAGGTTTAAGGTATATCATTCAAGCTTGCTCAAGATATAGACGCACAGCAAGCTTCCCTAAACCCTAAAACCTTAAAACCCGCAACTCCAAACCCCAAACCCTATAAACCCCAAAGTCCTAAACCCCAAAACCCTAAACCCCAAAGTCCTAAACCCCCAAACCCTAAACCCCAAGGTATGGATGTGTGGCCAACATGTGCCTTGTCCAGATCTTGAGCTTGAGGCTTCGGCTTCAATTCTGAGTATCCTCCAGGGTTCGGGGTTTAGGGCTCCGGGGTTCAGGATTTAGGGTTAAGTTTAGGGGTTCAGGGGTTTAGGTGTTTAGGGTTTAGGGGCTTAGGGTTGAGGGGTTTAGGGGATACCCTAAACCCCTTCACCAGGGTTTAAGGGTTTAGTTTCCCTAAGTTACACCCGAAACCCCAAGTCCTAAAACCTGAACCTGTAAACTTAGCCCCATCACTCACCTCTTTTGGGGGGCTTCAGCTTTCTAGTTTCAAAATGTCCCTGTTGAGTTTGAGGCTCTGAGCACGAAGAAAGGACATCCTATAAGTTTCGGGCATGTTGCTCATTGCTGTCGGGTTTAGTGCGATCTGCATCCCCAAACCCTACAAAGTAGTAGCTTGAAGCCCCTTAACTATAGGGTATAACCCTCCAAACGATAGAGTTCTCGGATCCCCAGGTATTGCTTACTACGGTTGATGATATAAATCCTGCATTGCCTTAAGGACCCTAAACTATGGAATTATGGTATATGGCTTCTTATGGGTAATGCAGGATATATATCATCAACCTCAATATGGCTTCTTATGGGTAATGCAGGATATATATCATCAACCTCAACTCTAAACCCTAAAACCCTATAGATCCCTTCAAGGAGCCCCTTACATGTACCCTTGTAGATCCCTGGAAAGGGTTTAATTAAATTAGATCATCAACCGTAGTTGTCAGATACACCCTTCAAGCTGCCTTGGAGGTCGTGTAGCAACGAGAATCTGGCGACAAACCTCGGGCCGATCCCTCTGGAGGCAACGGCAACACCACCGCGCATCTAGGGTTCCTTTTAAAGGGTTACTATAAGGGTACTATAAGGGTTCCTTTAAAGGGCTTTATAATGGTTTAGAGTTTCTGAGTCTTAGGGGCCACCCCCTTAGGGTCCCCTAGTATCGGAAACTCCCACATCACCGGGCATCTAAAGCAGTGGTTGGTTGAGCCTGCTGGGGATTTCTAATTCAATTTCTATGCCATCCCAATAAATCCCAGTAACGGTTTAGGGATTAGGGTTCAGGGTCAAGTAGTACAGTAGGTGCCCTTTAACCTTCTTGGGGTATTGTAGCCCAGAGGCTCCACTGATGCTGATGCTACCATTATGGAACTAGGCAACTAGGCCCTTAGAGTTGTGAAAAGAATGGCTTAATTCCATAGTGGTCGTATATGTGAAGCCTCAGGTATTCCCCATATAATTCAATGGCCAACCTTTAACTCCGGAGTCGCTTTGTTTTCGAGTTCAGTGGTTTTTCGGGCGTTCAGGGATGCATCCTAAACCCTAAACCCGAAACCCTAAACGACTTTCGGGCTTTGTAGAAAAGGAGTTTAAAAAAAAGACCCTAAACGGCAGGGTTCTGAGGCCGTTTTGGTGCAGGGTTTGGAGGCCTCCAGCCTGGGGCTTTGGTTGAGGTTGCGGTTGGGGCATTTTCGGGAGTTTCCGAAAATAGGGGACCCTAAGGTTCCCTTTAAAGGGTTCCTTAAAGGGGTTCTATAAAGGGTTTAGGGTTATGGGAGTTTCCGAAAATAGGGGACCCGAATATAGTACCCTAAATAGTAGAATCCCTATTATAAGGAAAAGGTTCCCCGTTTTCGGAAACTCCCATATATGTTTGCAAGCCCCAACCCCTAAAACCCCCTGGGCTCTGAAGGGTGCTGTGTTGCTGCTTCCTGGCTTCTGGAACCGATCTTCCTCAAGATGCAGAGTCTCAGAGTGTAAGGTTTCGGCTGTGGAGCTGGAGATATTGGAGTACCTGGCATGCTGAAGAAGAGCACATGCAGTGGCAATGAAAGGCAATAGGCGCGTCTAGTCCCAAACGCCGAACCTTAAACTCTCAACGAACCAATGCGAATGCACAGACGAACTGCCAGAACTGCATTCAATTTGTTGCCGTGGCGTTGCAATCATGTCGGTTGAGGGTTTACGGACTGGTTATTCAGGGCCCTCGAAAGTTCAGCTTCTTGCTGTCCTTAACACCGTCAAGGCTAGCTATCGCCATGTGTGTCTTCTGGCTTAGGGTTACACCTGACACAGAAGCTCCCAACACGAAAAAACTCTCGGAAGACGCCCGAAAAGTTGACGGTTTCGAGTTTAGGGTTGGGTCTTCTTCAGTCTTCCCCACATCGCAACAGTTTTCCATCCCGAAATTCAATTTTTCTGAGCCCTGTGGCCTTGCAGGAATGCCTGGCAGCTTGCCGTGGATACAGAAATTGCCAAGCCGTCGAGTATCCTGGGACAGCATAACAGAATCTTACATTTTCTTCAATTGATTATCAAAATTTGGATTATACGGATGGTTTCGAAGTGACTGGCTGCAGCGTGGTTCCACGATATCGTTTCCCGGGGAGGTACCACTGCAACACCGACTGCCTCCTGTTGAGCGATTGCGGCACGCAGACGCGCAGCGCCTGCGGTGGCAGCCTCTACTTGCGACTAGGATGCCCAGTAGTACCCTTATTCCCTTTTTGTAGTCCTAGGTTCCTTATAAAGTTACCCAGTACCAAAAAGAGCGGCCTTTTTATTCTTAGGTTACTGGGTATCCTAGGCGAAATCTCGACATGCGGCTGGGCTCGCGTCTCGCGACCGAGATATTGGACCCAGCCAAGTGCCACAAAGGCTGCTGGGCCCTTGAAATGAAAGGCTTCAAGTCTTCGGGAGGGTTCGGGTGCAATAAGTGGGCCGGTTCACTCTGTAATTAAGAACTCACATTCTGAAGTTGCACAACCCAAACCTCGCAAACCTTCCGAAACACTATAAACTCTCATAGTCTCAACTCACAATAGCAGAACCCTCTTACCCTTAAACCAAACTCTAAACCCCAACTTCTTCAATCCCCTAAATTACCACAGTTCAGCAACTGCCAAGGTTCCGCTGGCGCCGACGGAAGCGACCTCGAGGATTTTGCCTGCACTGAAGCATCCCTGTGTGCAGGGCGGGACTGGACTGCGCGCCGATCCCTGGCCGGTAAGGGGTTTCGGTTTGGTTTTGGGTTTTGGGTTTAGGGCTCATAGGGTTTAGGGTTGTTTACCTTTAGGGCTTGTAGGGGTTAGAGTTTACCTTAAACTACCATAACTTTTCTGTAGTTCGTGGTACATACCCTATGGGGACCCTACAAGGAAGTAGTGAGGTAGTTTAAGATAGGGATTCGGGGCCAAGCTTTTCAATCCCTATACGGGTCCAGTACCGAAATCTTATTGTTACCTGTACACTTTTATCCCAGAGTACATACATATATGGGGATTACTTGAAGGCCAAAGCGCCTATAGTATGAGTACATGGACTCTTAAGCAAGCCGTTCATGGAGTTTTCTGAAACTTGAGAGACCTTGTTGGATGGGTCGTCATGACATAGATCCTGCGAGCTGCTTCTCGTTTGTAGTGGTGTCTTCTAGTTCGCGAAAGTCGATTTTGCACGTTTCGGGTGCAGATTGGGGTGTGTGCAACCCGAAGGCTATGAGGGCATGTCCCTCCTTCGCTGTTCCGCGCTGTGCCGGGCAACCAACTGCCAGGTGCCTTATTTCGGGTTTCGGGGTTAGGCTGTCGGTAGTAACTTATTCGTTTTGAAGGCGTCAGTTCCGGTAGAGGCTGGAAGCGTTGGGTCTGCGGTTGGGATCAGCCTCAAGCCCTCGCCGCAGGCATTCCAGTTCGGCTGCAACTTGTGCACAATCTATCCTTCTGCATCCGCCTGTGTGTCGAAGAGTCCGAGCAGCTGCGGCAGTGTCTACGAGCGTTTGTACAATGGAAGCAGGACTGAGGCAGGGGGGTTGAGGTTTCTGGTTTCAGGGCATATTGGATGTAGTTTTCTGGTGTTCGCATTTTTTCATTTGTTTTCATTTTATAGGGCTACCCTCAGCAACGGACCAGGCAGATTCCGGGTGTTGGCTTCGGGCTTTCATTCTGTAGACGATCCTGAGCACCAGCTATGCTCGAAATGGCAGTGCAAATCCAAAGCCCTGATATGCCGAAACTGCACATCTAAATCCCTTCGTTTTGCTCTCCGTCCCAAACCTTGGAACTGCTCGATTTTTAAGCCCTAAATCTTAAACCCGACACCTTGGATCGGGAACTCTCTTCATGCTCTGAACGAACATCAATCGACGTTGCTTTCTTGTCTCTGAGTGGGCTCGGAAGAGCAGCTTGTGCCGACTTTGGCCCTAAACCCTCTAAACTCTAAACCCTAAGCTTTAAACCCTGAACCCTGAACCCCAAACCCTGAAGTGTGAGCCCTAAACCCTAAACCCTAAACTCCGAACCCTAAACCCTAAATCCTGAACTCCGAACCCTGAACCCTAAACCCTGAACCCTAAACTCCGAACCCTAAACCCTGAACTCCGAACCCTAAATCCTGAGCTCCGAACCCTGAACCCTAAACCCTGAACCCTAAACTCCGAACCCTAAACCCTGAACTCCGAACCCTAATACCCTGAACTCCGAACCCTGAACCCTAAACCCTGAACCCTCAACTCAAAACCCTAAACCCTGAACTCCGAACCCTGAACCCTAAACCCTAAACCCTGAACTCCGAACCCTAAACCCTGAACCCCAAATCCTTCAATCCGAACCCTAAACCCTAAACCCTGAACTCCTGAACCCTGGACTTCGACACTCAACCCTAAACCCGGAGGTCGACCTGGGCCTCGGGAGCGTGGCGGTGTACAGCCCGCAGTCCTGTCGCCTCGACTCCTGCTGGGTTTCGGCACCTGGGCTTCTTGGGGTTTAGGGGTTAGGGTTTAGGGTGTAGGGTTTAGGGTTTAGGGTTTAGGGGTTAGGGTTTAGGGCTTCCAAAAGAATGGCTGCAGGTTTAGGGTAAAGATTAGGGTTTGGGTTTAGGGCTTCTAACAAGATGGCTTCAGGATTTGGGTTTAGCGCTTCTAAAAATTTGGCTTTAGGGTTTAAGCTTTATTATATAAGGTTTAGGGTTTAGGGCTTCCCAAAATGTGGCTTTAGGGTTTAAGGTTTGCATATAAGGTTTAGGGTTTAGGGCTTCTCAAAATTTGGCTTTAGGGTTTAAGGTTTATATAAGGTTTAGGGTTTAGGGTTTAGGGGTTTTAGGGTTTAGGGCTTCCAAAAGAATGGCTGCAGGTTTAGGGTAAAGATTAGGGTTTGGGTTTAGGGCTTCTAGCAAGATGGCTTCAGGATTTGGGTTTAGCGCTTCTAAAAATTTGGCTTTAGGGTTTAAGATTTATTATATAAGGTTTAGGGTTTAGGGCTTCCAAAAATGTGGCTTTAGGGTTTAAGGTTTACATATAAGGTTTAGGGTTTAGGGCTTCTCAAAATTTGGCTTTAGGGTTTAAGGTTTATATAAGGTTTAGGGTTTAGGGCTTCTACAAAATGGCGTCAGGGGTTGGGGTTTTGGGTTTATGCTGGGTCTTTGCGACCTGGGTTCTTTACATGTTGATTTCGGCGTCCGGTTTACCGAGTCTCTGCGACTCGTCTACCTGGGTGGTTCCTTTCACACGTGCTTTCTTCAGAAACATTTTTCCAAGAAGAACGGGACTCCAGAGCATAGCCCAGTCTACCGTTTGTCGAGGTATAGCGGGACGCGGGAAGGGGGGCCACAGGGTTCACGCGAGCATGGTGGGCAGGGTTTGGAGTAGTTGGGCAAGGTTACTTAAATCCGTTTGAATGAGGTCTACCTGTAGTCTCCGTTGTAGTTCCTGTTTGGGGCTGCCTTGTAGGATCCAAAATTTGTAATTGTTTAAACCTACTCAAAGTACTTCACAGCTACGATGGAGACTACAAGTAGGATGTGGGAACATGGAGGGGTCTAGAACGTAGGTTTTAAAAGATCTGTGTTTTTTAGTACTTTAAGGGTTCCTGAAGCAGTTCTATGAGGGTTTCTTTAAGGGTTTATGGGTTCCTTTAGGGTTCCTTTAAGGGCCCCTTTACAGGGCTATGATTGAAACCCCTGAAGAGGAAGGTGATGAAGCCACTGCCAGACCCGCACACAACCTAAACCCCAATGCTCACAACCTCAACCCGCTTAACATACACCCTAAAGCCTACACCCGATGCCGTAAGCCTAAACCTTAAATCTTAAATCCTAAGCCCTAAGGCCTCAGCCTCAATCCCTAAATCCTAAGCCCTAAATTCCTAAACCCTAAACCCTAAGTCCTAATTAAACCTAAACCTTAAATCCTATATCCCAATTACACTAAAACCCCCAAACCCTACACCCCTAAACCCTTAAAATTCCCCTGAATCCTAAACCCTGAGCTCTAAACCCCAAATCCTGAACCCTAAACCTTCAGCCCTCAAAGGAGCAATTTCCAATCTGAGGCGATCTGCCCTGGAGGATCCAAGCCCGTCTCCTGTCAGCCACTTGGGCCTCTTTCAGGTTCTAAGGGTTTGGGGGTTTACCCTGTGTAGCATCCTAAACCTGGCCAGAAAGCTCAAAGACCGAAAATCCTCTTCCCTACCATCCAAGAACATCTTGTTGAAGCAAGATAAGGACACAGCTGCAGGGGAAACCCTTAACCATAACCCTAAACCCCACTATTAAATCATGAGCCCCATATTGCCTATAAGCCCTAAGCCGACAAACGAACACCAAAGGACCCTTAGTAGCTGAATGAGTGCACCTTACAGATGTTGGGATACTATTAGATATACTATTGGACATTGTAGGAACCTGATTAAGAAACCTTGGGCCTTTACTAGGGTTCCTTCTATGAACCCAACTATTTTGGGATTTTAGGCGCAGGGTTTCTTAATCAGGTTCCTACATTAGTACTGACAAAAAGCTTATAAGAAGAGTACTAATGCCCTTTGGACCCTTTGGAGGCTCAGGAACTGAGCAACTAAGGACTGTTCCTCCGGACTCGGGCCACGGAGTCTATTCCTTTGACGATGGGTGTGCTGCGCAAGGTTCCTTGACCTTGCGGCAGGGATTAGGGTTTAGAGTTCAGGGTTTAGAGTTCAGGGTTTAGGGTATGTATTTTCATTGGGTTTACGGACGTATATAGTAGGAAGTCATGGCTGACACTAGGGCATCAAGCAGGTGTCAAGGTCCGTTTGTGGTGTTTCGGCTCGGGGGCCTCAGGGGCTGCCGGGTTCGCTGCTATGGATTGAGGGATGTAGAACTTGCCTGACGGGTTTAGGGTTTAGTATCATGACATGCAAAGGCCCCTCTACGAGCTTTGTTTTCAGTGAGAGAGTTGTAGCAAGTTGAGGGTGCAGGGTTAGGGTTGCAAGGTTTAGGGTTTAGGGTGGGCGAAGTCGGATTGCGCCCGACTCAGCTTGTAGAGTCACGGCCATGACAGCATGTTTGCGGAGTCTTCTGGGGCAAGTAACCGGGTAGCCTCCATCCCAAAGCCGGACATGTGCTTGTTGTCCGCATCAGCTTCTCCACAGACTCTCATGTGCTAAAGCTCTGCTAAAGCAGCCGACTTGCACAATGATGTTTCGTTAGGGGCATCTTAAATATGGGTGGTTGTCAAGATTAGGGTCCCTTTTTGGGTGCCCTGAATATTAGGTGCCGTATTATAATAAGGACCCCAACAAGGACCCTAATATGGACAACCACATATATAGAAGTTTAAGACCTGATCTTCAACACAATTGCGTACTCGATTGAGGGATGCACCACACTACGATTACAGTAACCCCACAAAGTTGGAAACCGGACTGGGATTCTCTATACATTACTCTTAAGGACCGAGGCTATTGGGTTTCCAACTTTTTGGCTTCCACTTGAAGAGTGATCGCGTGTCAGGGATTCTGGCCTACACTAGGTAGGCCTTTGGGACATGTTATATTTTCCCTTGTTGGGCTTAATAGGACCCTATTTTCAGAGGCTTTAAAGGGCCAGCCTAGTACAGGTGATGCAGGTGATTACCTGGTCTCGAGCCCTTCATCCCCCTCAACGCAAAGCCTAAGCTGGAAAATCCCATATCCCAAACCCTAGCCCTGAAAGCCCTACCTTAACAACCCCGAAACCTTTTGAAGACGTTGGTAATCAGAGCATGAATAGGGAAAACGATGGAAAACCTCATAGTTCTAGTTTTTCAAGGTTCTGAGCAACCCTATCTTCGTAGGGTTCATTCATAATAGTAGCCCGACAGTAACCGTAACCATTTTGAAGAAACCTCCAATTTCAGGAGCCATTTTGGGTTCTTTCAAAGGGTAAAAGGAGGAACCCTTCGTAAGGACCCCTAGGTATAGAACCTTAATATAGCTATTACTTGGCTTTGGAGTACCATACTTTGACACATTTTTCTTAAGGGAGCCATCTTGAAATAAAGGTTTATACTTTTTTCGCCCTGGTTACTCCCAGATTATATACCCATTATATGGTCCATTGTAGGGTAGGGGTCCCCAGTAAGGGTCCCTCCTTTTGCCCTTTTTTTCTTGGCCTGCGATCTGTTGGAGACTTGCTGAGGTTCGGGAATGCCCATCGTGGCAGAAGCCATCTGTATGGAGGCCTTCAACACAACGTTCCCTGGCACGGTTTAGGGTTTAGGGTTTATGTTTACGGTCTAGGGTTTAGGGTTTAGGGCCCGCAAACCTTGGGGCTTTGGGTCATAGGTTGCAGGTTTGGTAGTTTAAAGTCTTGGAGTTCGAGTTTCTGGAACAGGAACAGCTTAGAGAGTCCAGGATTTGGGGTTTAGCCTTTCCTTCATTTGGAGTGTTGTTTCTATTGGACTCTGCGGGTCGCCCCAACGAGAAGCTGCAATATGTTGCTGCTGGTCGTTGCCATCATGGTTCCAAAGGGATGCTTCCCAAATCATAGTTTGGATCCTGTGGATCTTCATCA